CTTATAAACAACTAGAAAAAGTTCTTCTGTGGTTAAAGCATGCACGGAGTTCCAATTCGCCCAGAAGCGGACCAATTCTCGAGCAGAAAGCTCGAGAGATCGTCATGCAAACGGGCGTTGAGAACTTGGTCCTAAGCGATGGATTACTCACGTTGGGTACCATGCGAACGAAAGAGCACGGATGACCATGGCCATTTTCGAAAACTGGCTACGGTAGGAAGACACAAGATTTACGAGGCTAGGCAGGAAGGTTGTCTTCATCGTGGACAATTGCCCAGCCCACGGTCAGGTTGACTCCAAGCCATCACTCTGGAGTTTTTGCCAGCCAATGCAATGGCAGTGATCCAGCCGATGGATCATGGGGTTATTCAGAACATTAAAGTTCATTACTGCAGACAATTGCTCTATCGATTGCTGCTTTGTGCAGTCAGCGGGAAATGCTACAGCATAGATTTATTGGCAGCCATCCACATTTGGCCCCTGCCTGGGAGCAAGTGAAGGCAACAACAATATACAGATGCTTTGATTGATATGTGGGGTACGTCCCAAAACCACCATTTGATTATGAGACGCCGTCGTGGAGGGCTCCGGAAATTTTGACCACCTGGGGTTCTTTAACGTGCACCCAAATCTGAGCACGCGAGCCTACAGAATTTCCGCCTCCATCGGAAATGCAGCCACTGCAGCCGGAATTTGATTTCACAACCTGCGGGTCAGCAGCCGAGTACCTTAGCCACTAGACCACAGCGGCGGGGCACTATACAGATGCTTTCATCATGCTGGCTTTCAAGTGCAAGAAGCAGTACCTGATGAAGAAGAAAGCCCTGCTGATGCCGACATTGAGGCAGTATTCAGTGAGGTTGTGCCCTCTGCCCCTTTCACGCTGCAGGACTGATCAATTGATGAAAATGTTCGTACCTGGCGTGAGAAAACTGTTGAGGAAATGATTGCCGAAGTGCAAGATGAGGATTAACCTTCCAGCGATGAATGTGGGGACAATACTGCCAGTGTAGTGGCGCCACCAGACTGATCAGCTAAGAGACTGTTGAATTTTTCAGCGCTATTTTGAGCATAAGGCTTGTCCAGAATTTCTGGTTAGTTTGTTGGGCATGGGTGCGTACCTTCTGAAAACACAACTCAAGCTTGCCAAACAAACCACCTTTGACTCCTTTTTTTTCTCCAACTCATCCTCATGAGTACAGTGAGGTTCGTGCAATTTGAATAAAGGTTTTGATTCACTAAATAAGTGTACTTTGCTTAAATGAAACTTCTAATAAATAGAACAGTTTTATGGACCCCCTTCGAGCTCTGTTTGAGCGGAGTCGACTGTACACGAAGGAAGCAAATCTAGCTTCAATTTAGTTTATAGTTCCCTCAGATTGCATAATCATTTATACAAAAACAGCAAGCCCACAAAATAAGCACAAGATATCAACAAAAGCAGGATCACATACAGAAGCGGTAACATGAAACAGTGATGAATATTTCACCAACAATTAAGCTACCTGCAGCATGAAGTTCTAGCAGTGCACGCACACACTTATTTACATAAGTGTGCACATGGGGAGGCAGGAGGGGGCGGGGTGCAAAGTCAGCCTCACATTGACATGATAGGGAGGGGGGCGCTGCCACGAACCTTTGCCCCTCCCGCTGAATGGGAACCCTGAGCATGTCTATGCGACCCCCTCCCCCACACACATTGGAAGCTTTTTACAGTAAAACCTCCTTAATACGTACATCGCCGAGAACGTGGCTAACTGCGCGCTCAACGTAGTATCTACTAACCACCAAGTACCTATCTGCATCTCTTTACATGTGCCATCACCGCTAAAGAGGGAATAAGTACAGTGCCACGGCAAATATTGCTTTAAGTGCCCACCACAAAGCCATTTCTTTCTGTTTGCCAAATTTCAGAAACGACTGGCACTCTTGCACGGCCGTCCAATGGCGCGCGGTGGCAACATCGAAGAGCATTTCGAAACTACTGTGGAGTCTGGAGTCCGGCATGTGCAGCCAACGCAGCGAGTGACATAGCGACGAAACGAACATAAGCTGATGTCCGCAATAAATTTGTGCCGCGATCTGCTACTTAACGAAAACAGACATAGCAGGGAGCCGACCGTCTACTGGCTAGTTGCATGCAGCACTTCGCCTACTTGGCATACACACAGTGCCAAACCACTGGCGCCAACTCCGCTTCAGACCCCGCACAGATGCAGCGAAAAAGCTATTACATTAACGCAATGATGCGAGCTTTTCAGATTTGGGTGCACGTTAAAGAATCCCAGGTGGTCAAAATTTCCGGAGCCCTCCACTATGGCGTCACTCATAATCATATGGTGGTTTTGGGACGTTAAACCCCACATATCAATCAATCAATAAATCAATAAATGATGCGAGCTTTTTGCAAGCAATGCTCCAGCAATCCTGGCAACTGAAGCACGTTTGGGCTGTCGCGCTCTGAAAACGTGCTGTCTCGGTGTCCGTGATCCACAACACTAAATTCTGCAACAGCGAGCAACTTTCGTTTCTGCAAAGCGGTGCACGCTGAACACGGTCCCGTACAACGATCGAGGCACCTGTGTGCTCAGGTAGTCGCGAGCTATTAAAAGCATGCAGTAGGCTTAAAGCGACGATACGCCACACACGTAGGGTTTTTATCGGCGATGTCATACTGCTGCGCTTTTCTGTGGTCGCCACATGGCCATCGTTATTTACCCGTGATTACCAGGAAAGGCACCACCGCAATAGCGCGGATGTGGGAATAATTGGTCGGCTGATTCGAATAGGGAATAACTGGTCCGCGAATTCCGCACTCTTGCAGCTACGCCATTGCACTCAAATGCAGCAGCGCAAGTGTACAAAATGGCGATCATCACGTAATATATGAGTGCTGTTAGCATTACTCATATGAGTGCTTTCAACATTACTTTCGGTTTCGAAACCACCTTGTGGTGCAGCTATGGCACAAATCATACAAAAAAGACCCTTTTGGTGCAGTATAGCACAATAATTTCAAATTGGTACAGGTTGGCACAGTTTGCCACCACCGCAAGTCTCAAAGAAGAATGGAGCCATGCAGCCCTCTTCGCTTCTCCTCTGTTTTTTTTCTTTCTTTCCTCCTTTTCCATTTCTTTTGTCTTTCTATTTCTATTTTTCTATATATATTTTTACCTCCATTTCTTGCTTGCTTCCCCCTTTTTTTTTTCCTTTCAATTTTTATACGTGGTTTTGCCTGCGTTATGCCAAGGTGCTCTACATTGAATGTCGTCATAAAGGCACTAGAAGAACAAGAGGAAGAAGACTTCTCTTTGGTGTGAATGCGTGTTCAATAACCCACAGATGGCTACACTCTAAGAAATGATAAAGGTAAAAAAGGTGTTGTTTTGTGCCACAACAATAATCGTCATCTGCCTTGGGTTTCTTTCCTTGGAATATCGCCACGCGCCCAGCACTTCCAGGTCAAGAACGACATGTGTGTCATCAGTGTGGCATCGACCATACCTGCCAAGTTGAAGGATTCTGAACCACGAGGTTTCTGCAACGGAGTGAGAGGGGGGTGGCACTGATTGCCCCCACTCCCTTTTTGCACACGCGCGCGCGCACACACCCACACCCACACACAAAAAGGGGGGGGGGTAAACATTGACGCTGTGGTCTTATAACGGCTAGGCCTGGTCGAACACACAAGGGTACGGTTTCCCAACCGCAGCAGATAGTGCGAGTAGATGGTGCGAGTCTCAAAAGGGGGCGAAACTTCGTATCTTCAGAAGTTCTTTTAGCTACATTTTTTTAGCTACACTTTGGTAGCAAATAATGTAAATAAGGCGCTATTATCTAGTGAAAAAAAAAACTGTTTTTTACACCTACTAAAACGGTCCCTCTTTTCACAGTAGCCAAAGAGTTAATCTACCCCTGCGTTAGTGGCGTGCCCTCAGCTAGTAGTGGCTACCGATGATCGCACCGCCATGATCGCGGTTTCCTGCATGGCAGTTACAGAAAACTGTACTTCCATTTTAATCCGCGTGCGCAGGCCTTCAAAACCAAGTAGTTTTTTTGCTATCGATGACTGCATCAGCCGTGATTTTGACCGTAACATTTGTGGAAAGCAACGTCGCTTTGGTCGAGTGTTGGATGAGCAGGCACTTTTGGAGTTAAATCAGTTATGTCATTGCCATACATGATCATGTCTAGAGCGAAGGCAGTTTTACCCGCAGCGGTTGTGGCAAACAATAACCACAGCTCTGACAGTGCGTGCGTGCACAAGCCACGTGCATCCTTCTGAAGCTCAACACACTGATCTCGGCCTTCGCTTGATGGTTTTGCTATTAATGTTCACACGACCAGTTGTGATGAGGAAAAGTGTTTGGAATGTCTGAATTTTGGCCCAATGGACATTGTGGATTTTGACTGGGGAATTTCAAATCTGCCGGTTTCACATCACTGAGAATCTACTGTACGTTTAGATTAACACCTCCTAAATTCGTTTACAATAAAATATGGGTTTGCAGAAAGCCTGGATTGGATTGGGCTGCATTTTTTTCAATGCGGCCAGATCACATACAGAAATTTTGATTTTCGGGAGATTTTCCTGACAACTGTACAAACGTAAAATCTGGTGAAAAAATACAGGAGGTTTGGCAGGTATGCACAGCATTCTTTATAGGAAAGTGGCCAGTGCCGAGTTTTCAAGAAAGGCGTGCAAGCAAGCTGGATGACGATTATTATTGGGGGACAACAAGACACCCTTTTTACTCGATCATTCTTTAGACTGTATAATATATGTGGTTTTGCCTGTGTTACACCAAGTGACAACGACAGCATACAACAGCCCGGCCTCCTGAAGTGCTCCGCCACACTTAAAAAAAGATGTTTGGTTAAGTAGTTCAAGTACTTATAGTGCACATTATTACCGGACAACAAGATTTCAGCAGCTCATAGTTTAGCCTGAAACCCTCATTAAGAAAACAAGACACATAGGCCTCTTTCAAGTTGCACACCTTTTCCAGTCCTGTTCGTGGGATAGATGTGGAAAGGTCTGCCGCAATCTGGTCCACAAGACGCTTGACGGTCACCACAAACCCTTCAAGGTCACGAGAATCGCTGTCCAGGCGTTTCTTCTTCATCACCAGGTTCATCACGTACTGGCGAGATTTCTTGCAAGTGTCCAGGAGCCATGCCATAGACTTTCCCTGTGCAAAGCAGCGGCAGCTATAGCCACTGAAACGACAAAACTCGAGCCAAAAATGCCCACTCACTTCCTCACACTGTTATAAACCATTTTAATCATCACATGCAAGCATTAAAATGCAGGGCTGGAAGCAGGAATGCTTCAAGACTGACATGTTTGTGTAAAACTTTCAGTTCGTCTTCTTATCAGTTGGACACCCCTTATGAAAAATAACATTAGTACCGCAACGAACATTGTCGAATTCCGCAGCCTTTTTCAATACTGAACTCACAGAAACAGTTGGACAAGTTGGTGCACACAACACACCAGCACACAAATGCAAACGACACAGGACGATGCACTCACGCTTCGTCCTGTCCCCTTTGTTTCTGTCTGCAATGGCTCATTTCCTGAGGTCGCAGTAAACTTCTGCAATGGTGGTTTTGCAAACATAGCCGGGTAAAGAAAGAGGTGCATGCTCTGTATTGCCCCTAAACTTTAAATAACAGCTTGACAAATCATGGGGCCTCACAACTTCGAAGGAAGTTGTGGGGCCTTCGAAGGAACTTCGAAGGAAGTTGTGAGGCCCCATGACTCCTTCGAAGTTCTTTCGAAGGCCCCACAACTTCCTTCGCAGTTGTGAGGCCCCATGATTTGTCATAGGCCCCAAGTTGGCCTATGGTGGAGGACCTGTGTCTGTAGACATGCATACAGTCGAAACTCACAAGAACGAAATCCAGAGAGAATGAAATTTTCACCGGAACAAAATATTTTCGATACACCGGTGAATGCCCATAGGAGTGCATGCATTTCGTAACTTCTGACTACAAACTATATTTCTACTAAAGTCACTCATTAACGAAATTTTTGAAACAATAGTGCAAAAATAATCTACTCTCGTAACATTAACTGCATTCAAAAACTGCTCGAGTGCATTCATCGTACACTTAAGTTGCACAAAACTATCACCACAATGCACTTGAGCAACTGATACCGTCAACGTTAAGAAAAAAAAAAAAAAAAGAGGGAAAGAGAGGAAATAGAAGAAAGCCTGGCAACAATGATGATGATGATGGTTTGCCGGAACTGTGACCAAAAACACCCGTTCGTTATGCAGACTCGTGACAACGTAATCAAATCTGCATCAACATGAAGTTCGCTTGTTGGCTTCTTCCATTGCTGCCACACATAGTCGCGTGCGTGGAGCAGTAGCAGCCACTCTGTGTGCTCGGTGCGCCATGAACTGTGTGTAGCGTTCATAGAGTTTTATTTGTCTGCCTACAAAGTTGCTGCCTCCAACGAAAAACCGGAAATACACCCTGCTGGAAGATAAGGCTGCGATTATCGCCAAGGTAAAAAAGGGCAAGAAAAAAATGGACAATGCTGAGAAATTCGGCGTTGCATACAGCTCGCTGCCTACAATGATTAAAAACAAGGCCTCCATTCCTGGTCTGCTTGAAAATGACCTGAGCGCGAAAAACAAAACCATGACTGCTGCAGGGTTCCTGTATGTGGGCAAGGCGGTGCTCACATGTTTTTGTGAACAGCGTGCCAACAAGGTGCTCTTGTCTGGCAGGGTTCTGCAACAAAAGGCACTGGACTTCACTTGCATGCTTGGCCATGACAACATTAAGGCAAGCCTCGGTTGGTTGAGCCATTTCAAAGCTTGCCACGATGTCATAGCTAAAGTCATCTCCGGGGAGACAACAGCAGACTCGGTGACAAGGCCGTTGTAGCTGCTGAGCAAAAAAAAGGACTGCTGAGCCAGTAAAAGCCCTCGGACATCTATAATGCCAATGAAACTGCACTACAATAGACTCTCATAAAACGGAACCTGAAGAACCATGAAAGCATTTTCTATTTAATAGGAGTTTCAATAACTGAGAGATGAATAAGGCTGTAAAGTACCAGTAGAAAACCAATCATGTTGGAGGCAGTTGTTCTGTTTAAAGGGGCCCTGCGACACTTTTCGTACAGCCTTATTTAGCACCAGAATGCCTGTAGCGATGATTACTGAGATGAATGCAAGAAGAATTCTAGAAATTGAGGCACGGAAGGGGAAGCTATGAGTCCTCAAAGTTCAAATCTCGAGCGACGACAGGAAACGTTCTCTTTCGCATTTCACTTGCCTGCTGACGTCAAAGACCGCTTCCAATCACAGCACGCGTCTCATAAAAACATACCAGAAAGGTCACCTTACGGTAGCCTTCACAGAATACCTTGTACCGCTCTTTTTGATGGCGTCTTTAGCATGGCTACTACGTACCATGTGCATTGGGTAGCAGACACTACCACGGACACACTCTAGATACACACGTACGCTTTTGGTGGGGGGGGGGGGGGGGTCATTCTCAACTTTCTTGCAAGACGCGTTTTATGGCAACACTGGCACCCCCCACCAGTCACATTTTTGGCACGCTAATAACGCGGCATGCATTTCTACCTTCAGTTGCTGGCATGCCATAGCCTTGTTCGCAGGCTAGGTGTTGTGTTCATTGCTCTGAAAATACACCATTTAGGAACAGGGATTTTTTTTTTTTTTTTTTTGAGAAAATGTCATACGAGTTTTTGCTGTTTTTAGTATTTGCCCGTATGGCCTAGCTTCCACCATATGAATATTGCACACTGTTTGTAGCGTCCAGCCAATAAAAAGCGAACAGTCTTTCTCGTCCTGTCACATGACCCGACATCACTTCCCATGACAAAAATAGCCGACGTGTGTTCCCGTAGTCCGAAATTAACGTAGTTTGTCCCGTGAATTGAAATTATAACAGTGTCCGGCGTTGTCATTTGCGCAACAATATCAGCATATTCTACAGCACCAGAAGAACCGATGAAAAATACATGCTCAAATAGTGTCGGAGAGCCCCTTTGAAGGGCCACTCACCAGGCCCCATACCAAATCTTCGTTACTCAGTGGAAGTTGTTGAGCATTCGATGAGGAACATTTTGCCACAAAAATAATTTTAAATCGGTTCATTACGAGCTAAGAAAACTGCTTTTTTAAGCGGTGCGAAACGAGGATGAGAAAAGGTGAGCTCGCAACCCTTGCCGCTCCTTCGCGTAGCTTTCGCAAGGCAAATCTTTTCCCTACCCTCTCCGGCATCCAACCAAGAGGTCACGTGAGCATGACGTGCCCGAATAAGCCCAACCCCCGTGCATGGGAGCGGAGTTTTTTTTAGACCAGCGTTGTTTTCAGGTTTACTGCCTTTCTCTGCAGGATGGTTTGGAAACGCTGTCATAGATGCGGTAGAATAGTGCTATAGTGAACTAGAGTATGATAATATCTAGTTCACTATAATGAGCACAATGAGTGCGCAAACGCGTAGGAGCGTTACACGGCTGTCTGCTCGATGCGCTGACTGCGGAACCGCAGGGACACGAACGCATGCGAAACGCCAGCACATTAGCCCCGCATCTCACTGCAATCCACAAGGAAAAAATGAGAAAAAAAAGAATGTTGACATTCACTTATTGCATTTCATTATTTATCTAGAGATTTAATAATCTCTTCAAGCAACAAGTACCTTAACTACGCATGTCGTGTTAAATAATTTTTGCCATGTCACATGCCACTGTTGGCAACGTCAGAGCATAGTCATTTACGTAGAGGACCAACATGACTGCATTGCTGTGTACGTGGGGCCATTCATACGCGCATGTCATGCCCTCCTTCTCTGGGGCCGCGCCCGCAAAAGAAAGGGTGAGTAGCGTTTGTCTTGAAATTTGACCCATTTTTGCGGCGCGTAGCTTAGCAAATTTGGCAGACGTGATCATGAACGCCTCATCTACCCATTGCACTTGTAAGCTCAAAATTGTCAGACCTGGTGAGAGGCCCTTTAAGGGGGGAGGTAGCGTTGAAAAAAAAACTTTTTGTTTGTTGACCTAGAGCAATGAAATTTGGCATGCATACTCATAAGTGTCTTGAATAGGAAAATATGCAGTTTCATCATTACACCTTGAGAAGTTCTCAAGTTAGATGATGCTACATGGTTCGATTCATATAGTCAGCTCGTGGAAAGCCTAGCACTGTAACAAAACATGCCAGGAAGCTGCAAATGATGTCGCTCTTCACTCAAAAGAAGATTATTGGGTATGACAATTTTTTTTAACACTTCTCTTTTTTTATAGAGATCATCATGGCTGCCGACACACATTGTCAGAAAGAATGTCATGTACGAGACACCTTCTGGAAGAAAAACTGGGCCATAAACAAGAATTCAAAGATGGTCAGACCCTCAAGAAATGTTTTAGAATTATGAAAAAAAAAAAGCATTAAAAACAGTCCAGTTATTCCCGTGATAAACTTTCCACGAGCAATGCACAATGTTCAAAACACACTTGTGAGAAAATGCCTGTCAAAGTTTTCGACAGGCTTTTTTTTCGACTAACTTTGTTGTTTCTGGTTGGATATTGATGAAAATTGGCACAGACCCCAAGAAAAACCTTACATTGCTTTTATAAACTTTTGGAGGCAATACCACAAATACTTAATGAGAGGCAAGTTATTTTTTCATTGAACCTTGTGGAGGGGCTGAGTATAATGCAAAAAAAAAAAAAACAGTACTGAGAAAACTGCGTTGTTTAAAGTTTCAACTTTCCCCTACACCTCTAAAACACCCAAAAATTGTGATCTCAGGTTTGTCTTGTGATATTTGACTTCTCAGGCATGTGGTCTCTGCCCAGTGTGCCTTTGTTGCCTTTTCTTTTTCATAACCTTCTTTTCTTGATTGACAAAGAACAAGTATGGATTTCAAACCAAGTTCTTTGTATGAAGGAGTGGTGTGATAGGCATGACAGAAAAGATTGTAATTGAATAAGACAATTTACTGAAATGATTACCCATCTTTCTTGTGTTCAAGCTGTCATTAGCATAATTAAGTACTTGATTACAAATACTGAATATTTTTTATATAGAGAGAGGTTTACAGCATCAGAAAAATGGCTTACACCATGACAGCCTATGCCTTCTTTTCAAATAACTAATTTATGGGCAGAAGACTAGTGGCACAGGACTATTTTAGCAGTTTATTTAATGACACGAAGCGGGCAAATAAAAATTCGTGCCCCTGCTTCATATATGTTCTTTTGCCACTCATGCCGTGAAACCCATCATCATACAGCAGGTCGCGGAAACGATAATCTACGAGGCTTTCATTGTTTTAGAATATTCATACACACTCGTGGCAATACGAAGCACAGCTCCAAGCATATCTAAATCACATCACAAAAGCTTATTGACAGCACACCATATGACCGTGGAGTGCATGGCCGCACGGACAGCGCAGCCGGCACGTGATGCACTTGCCGGCGACATTCAGTGAATGTGCGAAATGTGTAGCTGCGATGAGAAAAAATCGGCGTGCACTGCGTTTGGTATCACATCTTCGAATAACGATGCACGAAACTGCTAGTCGCTTTTCTGAGCAATCCTTGGTAGTGCAGGAGTGTTGACGAGCTTGACTGTGGGGTCCGCTGCTGATGTGCAAAATGCCCGTCTGCGGTTTCGAGGAGCTAGTGAGTGATGTGCTTCGTTGCTTGCGAAGAAGCACGTAGCCACGAGTGCGCTAGTGCGTCGTTCTTGCCCGCAGTCTCGCCGTTAGAGGAGTTAGGCCTAAAGACGACTTCGATGACGCTGATGCTTAGCATAGAGCTTATGCATAGACTCACGAGCATCAGCGCTTCATATCAGCTTCTGGTGTTGATAATACACTGGTTCCAGTCCGCATCATTGTGCAAGTGCAAACAGCTGGTTATATGAACATCTGCAACTCCTTGACATATGTCTGTGCGTGCAACCTTTGTACATATATTTAGCGTCATTTCATGACATGCCGCTCAATAAAAAAAAAAAAAAAAACTGCAACATGGTCACCTTCCCTCCGCATGCTTTGCATAACGTAGATTCCGAGGTACGTGGGATCTGTCGAATTTCTTTTCTCGCCAATTTCATTATTGCAGGTTTCAACTCCATTTCCAGTAGCCCGGAGAGGATTATGGCAAACCGTAGTTAGAAAGGCGCAGGTGTCGTATCATTACCCGTCATGGATACCCAGGGGCCACTTCTTTTCAACAGCCAAGTCAAGAAGGACTTTCACGCTTAGACAGAGAGGGGTAAAAAAAAGCAAAGAAGGGACCATGACATTGGGCATTTAGCCTTCGCAATGATCCGATGGAGGCGGAAATGTTGTAGGCCCGTGTGCTCAGATTTGGGTGCACGTTAAAGAACCCCAGGTGGTCTAAATTTCCGGAGCCCTCCACTACGGCATCTCTCATAATCATATAGTGGTTTTGGGACGTTAAACCCCACATATCAATCAACCTTCGCAATGAGACTTGGCTAAAGAAAGCACCTTGAGTACATTTGGCTTCAAAAGTTGCTGTCAATACCTTCTTTCAGTGCTACTTGCCTTCTTGTCTTAGCAACACACCACACAAGTAAATGACCCCAGTGCGGCCACAAAGCCATCTAGACACTATACTTGCTATCATATACTGTATTTACTCGCGTAATCCTTGCACTCGCATAATTTTCGCACCACTCACATTCTCCAACGAAAGTACGATCTTTTTCTACGAGTAATTGTCGCACCCTCAAAAATTGCAGCTGATAATGAAATGTCTGCCAACTACTGATGATGATAGCGCACAACAACCTGGCGTCATCTCTTAAGCATCAGGCATAGTATCAACACACAGAGCCCCAATCCAATCCAAGCCAACCCAAAGTCACAAGTGTGCGTTGCGGCGTGTTAAGTAAGAAACACTTAACAATTCGTCTTTTGCGATACTAGGTGCGTCTGTCAAAGTGGCTTGTCCCTAACGCACCTCTGGTTCTGTTGTGAAATCTACTCAGCGGAGCGTGACACTGCATTTACTCAGCTTCGTCATCATTTTGCAGTCGATTTAAAATGAGTTTAGGCAAGATGCGCATGTCGAAAAACATGAACTGGATGCAATGTCCTGCACTGGCATGATACGCTACATCTATGTGCAGCGGTGAGTGGACGACGCTTCATTGAAACTGTAAAGCTACAACGTCGCAGCAGATCAGGAGATCTAGTGGTCTTCAGCCTCTTTGAACAACAAAGGCACTGCTTCAGCCCTTTTCAATGCACCCCACTACCCGTGCTGCTCGAAGAACAAAACTGAAACTGTAGAAAAAAGTCTGAAGACAGTTCGCTAGCTAACCCTATCCAATCCGAAGCCTGTACTTCCCATCATTCTCAGGGAGGTACACGACTGCAGCGCCAGATTCCTCTCTAGGTATTATTGTATGAAACTTTATGCACAACGGTCAACAGCCTAGCATGGTGGTACTGAAACATCTTCGTAAAATAGTTTATACTTGGGTGCTTTCAACACAATATGTCCTTATTTTTCGCAATTACGCTTTAAGACTGTCATGAAACACTCCACTCCAAGTTTTTATTTCCCTTCTCCAGGGCTACGGGCCTTCAACAAGCAGGCTTGAAGCATGTGTGCAGCAGGCACAGTATGTATGTATTTGCATACCCTAAGAGAGTAGGTCTGAGCAAACTCCTTCCAGACAGCTTCAGTGGGCTGTGGAAAGTATGCATCCAACTTCTCCAGCACAAAGCCAGGTGGCAGGGCCTTCTCAGCATAAACAATGATCTCCTGGAAAAGGCAGACAGGTGAGAAGAACAGAGATGAGACCTAGACTAAAGCAAATGGGAAGGGAAGGGGGGGAACGTGAGAAAAACCAGACATCTCAATTGTACATGCTTTCATTACATATGCTCGCGACATCTGGTTTATACGTGAATCAACACAGACACTGTGAGGACATCCATGTACTGTTTTACATGTGCTGAGTGAATTTTATGCACCTATTGCTCGTTCTAAAGTAAAATATGCTGTGTTGCTCCTCACTTCACCATTTTGCCATAAGGTACTGTACTACTAACACTGATTAACACATAATAATAATTACAGTGGTGGGAATTCCAGCATTTTGGAGCAGCCAGTGGAGCAGGCAAAATCTGCTTTTGAAGCAGCTACCTCTGTGTTTGGAGCACGCACAGGCGTTCCATGACAACGCAGAAGAAAATTTAGCTTCAATTTAGTTTAATATAGCTCAGTTGTAGAGCATCGGACGCATTATTCCAAAGGTCGCAGGTTTGGAACCTGCCGGTGGCATGTTATATTTTCATTCACCTTTCTTTCTCCATATTTGCATTACAATCACTTCTAATAACAACCCCTATGCTTTTCCTGGCTATTCACGGCGAGATCGGCCTAGGTGGCAGCACCGTCCCCTCGAAAGTGTGGATAGGCAGTCGTCGGCGCGTGTACAAATACAAGCAGCAGTACGTCATTGCGTACGGTCCTCATTGTCGGTGAATGAAATGTGTTGACTGCAGTTTACTGTTAATGTCTACACCCTTGTCTACTGAGTCGATGCAAGACGCCTATGCAACATTAATATTACTGGCGAGTAAAGTGCATTTTGCCTTTCATAGGGATGCTCGCCCTAGGTGACTCTCTTCACACTTTTGCACTATATCATGCCTTTGCTGTGTTGTTTGTATGTGGTTAGCTTGTGTTCCGCCTGCTACGCACTGCTGTTGCGTGACTCAACCACTTATTTACATCTTTGTCATCTGCCTATTACAAAAAGAAAGAAAGAAAAATAGTAGAAAGCTGCATATCTGTGCGAATCGTTCATTACCATGTTCACACCTTATATGCATATGATGTTTATTTCTCTCATTCTGCTCACCGTGACGTGTTGGACAGTCGATAAGTCTAGTCAGGAAAGCTTAGTGGCTGACGGCGCTTTGCGCTACACTGTATTTACCATGTGTACACATATGTTCTTGCACCAGTACAAATCTTACATAAGACTTCAGCAGAAAGCTTTCACCAATGGATTACATGCATGAAGGTGCTACAACGAAGACCTGGTTACTGGGACAAGCATGTTTCTTTTTCTTTCAGACAAAAAATTACCACTGCTTTCCGTTGGTCACTAACAATGCCAAACAAACGCAGAAAACAATGTAAAAAAATGCAATTTTCAGTGAAATTATACGAAATTACAGATAAGGCATGACGTCTGAATTAATTTTCAATGTCTGCGCTCTTTAAAGCGTTCTTAAATCTAAGCACGTGGTTGCGCATGGCAACTCTGTTTTAAGCACAGTGTAAGTACCGAAGTCTCACAGTTTATGTGATAGTATTATTTCTGTGTAGTGGTACCACAGCCAGATAAACACAACTAAGGCTCCTCGTACGATCGATAAACTACAGTGCTGTAGTTGTACACCTACCAACAGCGTGCAAGTGCATGGCCTAGAGCCCCCCCTCTCCTCTTTTTACAACCGAGTGGCTATAAAACGCTGCATTCATGCAGCACTTATAGTCCTCATGTTTGAGAAGATGCCAAGAGCATTTTGCGATGTGCTTGAAAGAAAGCGGCACCCACTCTGAAATTATTCTGGCGAACTGAGGGTATGAGGACAATAAACAGCCCTGTGGAAAGTTGCAGTCGCCGATCTTACTGCAATGTATTAGCAGTCGAGCAAAACCAAATGCTTTTCTACGACAGGCTTACGTAGAAACAGTTACACACGCGCTGACATGACCGGACAGACCACACTTTGAGAACGTGCATGACGTATGTGCACATAGAAACACGACATGACTAGCAGACGACGCATGGAGCAATCCACACTTCACCGTTTCGGCCAGTAGCCGCCAGGCGGCGACTCTGCTCGATCTCACGGCCAATATGTAATGTCTGGAAGAGTTACCACAGACATGTCATAATGCGATGACACGTCTGTGGTAACTCTGTTATGTCTCTGCGCATGTGTGGAAGATGACCTGTTTTTCAGCCTGCACTGGCAATAAACAGTTGATAGATGGTTTGGGGTTCATCTGTCTCTTTCCTCCCCTCATTTTCATGTTCGGAGTATTTTGCCAGTTACGAAATGTTCAGCAAACTAAGGCCCCAACTCGCCCATAAAACAAATTCTTCCACTGTTAGTTCTCGTGCCTAACAAAGGAAATGAGCCCTTAAATTTATGCTTTCCTTCATTCCGTTTACATAATCTCTTATACAGAAGCAGCAAGCCAACAAAATAAGTACAAAAATAAACACAAGTAGGATAATGTACAGAAGCAGTGACATAACATCTTGAAGGATATTGCACCAGCAAGCTAGCTGCAACATGAAGTTCGTAGCAGTGTGTGCACGCACACACACATGCATGAACACAGACGCAGTCAAAGCTGTTACAGTAAAATGTTAATACATACATACATGCCAAGAACCTGCCGGGAACATGGCTAACTACACTATAAACGTGGTGTGCATTATTAACCATTAACTACGAAGTACATAAGAGTGCACGGGGTTCCCCTTTGGGGGGAGGGGAGAGGAAGGTTTGTCACAGTGCCTCCCCTCCCTATCATATCAATGTATGGGGCAGACTTTGCGACCCCCTCTTGCCCCCCTCCCTCTTGTGTCAATGTATGGGGCTGGCTTTGTGCTCCCTATGCCCCCCTCCCCCTTTGCGCATGCCTATGGCAAAGTACCAATTTGCGTTTCTTTAAGTGTGCCATCACCGCTAAAGAAGGAATAAATATAGTGGCACAGCAAATAGTGCCTAAAGTGCCCACTACAAAGCCATTTCTTTCTTTTTGCCAATATTGAGAAATGATTGGCATTCTCAATATTGACCGTCCGGTGGCACGTGATGGTGACACCAAAGAGCATTTCGAAACTACTGCGGGCTCCGGGATATGCAACCAACGCATCCACCGACATAGCGACGAAACAGACATAATTGGTCGCATGCAATAAATGTCTACCGCGATCTGCTTTCTAGCAAAAACTGACACAGTTTTTTGTTGAGACACAGTACGGTCACAAGGAGAGGATCGTCTACTGGCTAATTGTGAGCAGCGCTTCGCCAACGTTGCGTACACACTGTACTGAGCCCCTTGCGCCCACTCCACTTCAGACAGTACACAGCTGCGGCGAGAAGCCTGCTGCGTTAACGCGACGATGCGAGCCCCCTGAAAGCGATGCTCTAGCAGTTCTGGCAGCGAACGGAGGCGCGTTTGGGCTGTCACCTCACGAAAGCGTGTGCTACACTTGCTGTCTCGGTACCCGCAACTCCGCAACAACGAGCTGCTTTCGTTTCTGCGAAACGGTGCACTTTGACGATCTCCGCACCTCCAAGAAATTTTTGACGATCAAAGGATACATGGCATAAAATTATGTGACATTCCCTGCCTAGCCAGCTCTCTTTTCTGGTCATAGGTATACAGCCCCACCCACCGAAAAACTTCTAGCTATACTAAAGATAACACTTTAGGCACATAGCACATACACATTCAAACTAAAAACATGTCTACAAGTTATTATAACATCTATATATAACTGAAAGTGCCATGAAAAAATGACCATTGTTTAAGGTTAGGCTTGTGCAAATATTCGAATATTCGAACGAATAGTACAGTATTCGAATTCACTTCAAGTTGAATTTAAAATATTGAAAATTTCGAAGTATTCGCAATGAATGAAGACATGTGTATTAATCCGCATGTAACTGCCTGTAAAGACGGTTTCACTGCAGAGGAGGGGTGCTAAGCAGCGAAAGCACCTACCCAAGAAAAATCTGCTTTGCTTCCCGTGAAGCCCCATGACAAATCTAAAGTGGTCCTGCATGCAACACTTCTTGAGCCTGGTCAGAAAACGCTGCCAATTAGTATTCGAGGCTACTGAGAACACGTGAGCCAAATATTATAGCACAGCACATGCCCTGGAATCAACAGTAAATTCTCAGTCAGCTATAAATTGTTTTCTTTTCTCTCAAGGAGACTTCAAGCTAACACCTATACACACGGCACCCTACTGCATAGAGTCTACCCAACGCTATACGCCTACAACTGGCCGATATGCGACGTGCCAGACACAATGGCCCACCTACTACTTGAGCGCCCGGGGCACCACGAAGATGCCAATAACAAGCCCGCAACGACTGCACGTATCGACCTCCTAGCCGAGACGTGGGAGGCCAAGATTGCAGCACGCGACCTAGACGACCAATGAGGACTTGTTGCCAAGGTCCGGGAGGCAATTGTGGCCAGAGGATTCCTGGAGTAAGGGACCCTCCCACCTAGTATGACCCCGAGCTCACAAACTCGTGAATACTGTTTCGAAAAGTAAATGTTTATTTCATCATCTTTTCTCTCAACAAATGACGGATGAAGCTCAAAAATTACTCGTCACAGCCATTGTATCAGCCACTGGTTGACTTCAGCGTGGCATGCTCGGTGTTACTTGGGGCCACCACAGGAGGCCGCGACCTGTCCACGCGTACGTGCGGGATCGCACTAAATATCTGCGTATTCGAAAAAAAAAAGAGGGAGAGAAAAAGTGCTAAGGTCACGAGGCACGCGTGACGTATTTTCTCTTGCCATGCCATTCCTCCCTGGTTAGCTTCAAGTGCTCCCGTTGGGCCAAGACAAGAGAAAATGCAATTAAAGCGCGCGACAAATGTTTGCAACTCTGCTCGTAAAGGACGTATTCTAAATATTTTTGCGGCAGTGAATTCATGAGCCAATAAGCTTCGTCGGTGAATCATTTTTGTGGCTACTTGAAAAAGTGTTGCAGGGCCTCAGTAAATGAACATATTACCCTCAAATCGATTCATAATTTTTTTTTAAAGCCAAAATGTTTGTTATGCCGGCTTATATTCAAAGTATTTTAAAATGTTACATATTTTACAGGTTATCACTTGCATCCTACCAAAAGCCAAATCCTCCTACTACTCTAAGTTGTTACGACGCCCTTTGAATGAAAAAAAACAAAGCAATTGCATATACGCCTTATTTCAATTTTTAAGAAATATTGTGCAAGTTAGTTAGGTCATTATAAATATGCCAATTTTTTTTAATGATATACACAGTATTTTTTTAATGATATACACAGTATTCGAATGCGATTCGAAATTATTCGACCGAAATTACTATTCGCTTCGAACCTAAATTTCACTCTTCGCACATGCCCATAACTAAAATTGGCAATGACAATTTTAAATTTTGCATATAAAAAATTTTGGTACAAAAAGTGTTAATATTATTGTGGTCGACATTCTGAAACTAATCCGTAGGTGAGTGGGCTACAAAACTGTTTTCGCAACCTCGAATTTTTAAACATGCACATAAAATCCAGTAAGAGAGTTTTTACTTTCACCCGCATGAAACCACAGCTGCTGAAGCCCTGTGATCCGAGTCGACTACTGGCAACCTAGCGTAAAATGATGAGCAAGGAAAAGTATAGAGCAGAAAGACTGTGCCACGTACCAACAACCTGGCACGCAAGATGAGAGGCACAAGGACCTTTTCAGAGGTGAACTTCTGTCGAGAATACATGTCCTGGAAAACATCTACGAGCACCTTGAGGACTGCAGGATCCCAAGTGGCGATTGTCTGGTGCGACGAGGTCAAGTAGCCGTTGAAGATGTGCACCAAGTACATTAGGCAGATGTAAGGAGAGCTCAAGTTGTACACAATGGTCTGCTTGTTGCCACGGCCACGCAGAGCTGCATAGCAGAGATCGAGAATGAAGAGACAGTTCAGGGTGCCGCCTTAGTGGAGGGCTCTGAAAATTTCGATCACCCGGGGGTCTTTAACGTGCACCCAAATCTGAGCACACTGGCCTACAACATTTCCGCCTCTATCGGAAATGCAGCGGCCGCAGCCGAGATTCGATCCCGCGACCTGCGGGTCAGCAGCCAAGTACTTTAACCACTAGACCGCCGCGGCTGGGCGTGCACTAAGAGCTTACAGAAGATATTTTAGTTGGTCATGTAAGAACCTTTGAAGCAAGACTACTGCACTCCATTCCAAGAACCACACTTGTCACAGATTGAGCACACACATACCCACAAGCACCACTCTTGAAGTGTTGTTTCGAAGTACCAAAGTTCCCAGTTATCTTACAAGTACAGTAAAACTTCATTTATTCGAATTTGGAGATTTCTAAATCCAGCTTGATTCGAAGTATTTCTGCAGTTCCGCATTTTGTAATGCAATTCTGAGCGGATAATTTGAAGCGGCAGTCAGCACCAGTCCGGTTGATTAAAAAACTTTGGGTCCCAAAGTTTCCCATTCCAATTTCGCCGCAAAACCGCGAGAACAACAGCCCTTAAGAGCCATTAGCCAACGAACTGTAGCGATACTAATGAGTAGCAGCTAAAGCATGCGAACCTTGATACTTCCAGCTCGAAAAATAAAATTGTAGAAAAAAACTTTTGTGTGCTCAACTGAAATGTCCACGTGCGGAAAACAAGACGTGCTTCCCTGCACCACAGCGGGGACGCTCAAGCAGCATGTCACATCTTTCTCGCAACATCAGTGCGTCATGATTCACCCATTCTTTCTGGGAATATAACGAAAAATGATAAAGGACAGCCTGGTGGAATTCACAATGTATGCGAACCTCCGAGTGCCAGTTGCTCCAGCAATTTTCGCACTTGCAGTGCTGGCGGAATTCTTGCCTGCAACGCCTACTTTAAAAACTCTGTTCCAAAGCTTGAATGATCACGTTTTCCAGCCAAAACACAACATGAATTTCATCACACTGTTCATTATTAAATTCTTTATTTTGTTAGAAAGAATGGGCGAATAGTCGCATGATAACAAGCTGACACAGCGAGAGGCAGGCAACATGCTGCCCACGTGTTACTACTGTGTTGCACTGAAGATGTGTTTTTTTCGCAGGCGTGCATTTCAATTGATCATGACAATTTTTTTTTTTTTCAGTGGCAGCAGCGAGGACCAGTATTTCCCCTTCCTTGCGGCAAAATCGTGACCTGATATTGCTAGAAAACATAACCCTAGGAGCCGCAAACTAGCCAGCACAGCAAACGACCAGCCCTCGTTACTTTGAGTAATTTCAAGTTCCTTCCATCCCACTTTTTTGAATGTTGCATCAATTCGAAAACCTGCTTAATTCAAAGATTTCTCACGGTTTCAGTAACTTCGAATTAAGGAGGTTTTACTGTGGTAGACTAGGTTATTCCATGAACCTCTTGCCATAAAAATTTCTGGAGTTTTTCACACATTGGTGGAGCCATAGGTGGTTATCGCATATTCGGATGACACAACACACTTTCGTCCCCAATGGCATGCTGGAAGTTACTGCATTCTCTGTTGCATAAGCGGACTTTTGTAAAAGGCACATGCTTCCATCTTTTTTACTTTCGCGGAAAAACATACGGTGCATTATATTGGCACACCCGTTTTTAACACTGTCAACCGGATAAAACACAATTATGCACGCTTAGTACATTCATCATGAAATGTCACAGTCACATGATATCAAGGATTCATTTCCACCATCAGCAGTGTAAAATTTCACATGGCACGTGTGAAGATCATGTGCCATGTGACACCCTCTGGCAAAAAGTGTTTGCCAGAGGCTGCCTTGGCTACGAGCGATGTTGGCTAGCCCTCCCACGGATCACATGTACAGAAATACCCAACAAAGTGGCTGGAGCAACACCTTCCATATCAGCTGAATTGGTAGAGCATAGGGACACGTAATTTGAAGGTTGTGGGTTAGCATCCCACTGATAAAAATGATGCCATCTGCTTTCATTCATTTCAACTTACATCACAATTACTACATATCAAAGACATCAATTAATGCCCTTCAGGCTTGCCTGGGCCTTCAAACAGCATAAAATGGCGATTTTTCCTCAGAAGCAGAGGAGGGAATTCTAATGCAAAAATCATTAACAAGCCCAATCATGCTTGAATAAATCTGACAGACTAACTAGCTGTCAAATTCATTCTGTTGTGTATACAGTCCCAGGAGTTTTAATGTCACACAAATGTCGATTACATGAAATATCAGCATTTTGAAGAGGCAAAACAATATGCACAGGCACACAAGGTACTTTCCAAAGTAATGTTGCCTTCTGAGCTGTTACTTAAACAAGTGAACATAAACATTTTTTTATCCATGAGGCCCCTTCATGCGATGCCACCAATAGGCATCCATGCAAATGGAAGTGTCTTGAATCAAAGGTCTACTTTCTTTTTTAGAACGTCTTTCGAAAATGAATTTATGTTTTTCCATTTTTCTTTTGTGCTTAATTATGTGTGCCCATGGACCAATAAAAAACAAGGGTGCATCACTGGTACCAGATCTAACTCATACACGTACCCTGCTCCATGTTTCTTGTGAATAGAATGATGCTAATAACTATGATAGGACGCCTTCTAACCTGCTGAGGGGGAAAGTGCAGCAGGCAATGCTTACAGCGAAAAGTGCATCGAATGCTTGTGCATATCATTGGTGATCTCACCGCTACTAAGTGCCCACATACTTCACGGCCAATATGAGCTCTATAAGGATGTTTTAACAGTGACAACGATACCATGCCATTCACGTTACACCAATACCTTTCCGCACTAAATGTACCATGAACTCAAACCTTTCAGCTGCACGAGTTGCTTGTCTCAAATGGTAACATGATACGTGATGATTTTAATGGCCAATACTGGTCTTACAAACTAAAATAAGTACGGGCCAATCATGACCATATGGCATTTCCGCACATAGTGTAAACCAGCCCTACTAAATGACCGAAAATGCAGTGCACAGAGCAATAGTTCTGTGCACAAAATTCATGCAAGCCAATGTCAGTAATGAAAAACAATGCAAGGTGGATCATTAGGTCAGCAAGACCACCAGGCCACAATTAAATAAAATATACCACGAAATTGGTACAGCAAGGCAAACATGAGCACAGCACTGGTTTTATCTTTGCTTGGCTTTCCCATGATAACATTTTCTCCTAAATAACTGCACATGTACTACATGAGCAGTTCACTAAGATTCACGACAATTCTAATGCAATGGCTCCATGACAGATTTGCATAGTAGGAGAACGGGTCGAGGAGCGGGCACCTGTTCGATTGGGCACTGGTGTTGCGGTACGTGCGTTCACAATTATGCCCAGCTCATGAGTTTTGAGATGCATTTACCATTTGCAATAAGCTGTGAAGTCAAAACAACGCGTTCCAAAAACGGCGAAGGAACTCCTTTCAAACCCTGGGAAACGGCATCCGCGCGAACGCGATCAATCCCTGGAAACACAAAGCCATGCCGAACACACGGATCTTACTTCTCGATCACTCGATTGATCAACATGTAATACCAACGCGAAACAGGGTCTGAACTAGAGCTCGTTCGCACGGCTTCATAACAAAACAAGACAGACAAACAAACAGCACCTGGCGCTGGCAAATAGCATGAACGTTTATTTCGTGGGTACAAAAATATGTACGTTTCCTTCGGGAAAGGAAAATAACAAAAAAAAGGTCCCGACTAGTTTATGAATTCGCCAAATTCAACTGCGCAGATAATCAACCTCCTTGTTAGTTCGCTTGATAGATGGTGCGCTTACACACCGCAGTAAACTGAATTTTTTAGGAAAGTCGCACTTGGTGAAACGGCATGTCTCATCGGGGAAGACTCGGAATATGACGGTATGGCACAGAGCATGCGGCTGCCGGCGCTGTCAAGGGGAAATAAACAAACGGAAAAAGACATAGTGTGATGCAATATCAGACACGCAGCTGCATGAAAACTGGTAGTACGTCACCTTTCACGGCATTGCCCATCTGGTATTTGAGGGCATGCTCGAGCACGAAGATCTCCACCGGCCCCATTGTTACGGCACTCAACACGCCACGGACGCCAGACTTCAAAAGCGACAACAGATCACTGAAATCGAAGCAAGAAATAACAAGGATCACTAAACGTCTGCGTGCATTCAGGAGCTATCATCAAGAGTAGTTGCTCACGCACAACAACGGCAAAAGCAGTTACTTACCAGCCGAGATCCCTAACGCCGGAGAAATTTGCAACCGGCGGCAACGAACGACGGTTTTGGATGCAGCTGTCGTTGGCTTTGCTTTGACTTCGGATCTTGTTCCTGGAGGAGCCGCAATATCGCATGCGTCGTCTGCCACATTCCCCATTTATAGTGTACATACACAATAAATTAAAGAAAATTAAGCCCTCCTTTTATAATTTGTAATCATGCTTACTCTCTGCAGTTATTACACGATAAATACAGAAGCTGATGAATACAATAAAATATACAGCTTCAGAAGAGCAAAAAGTGTGCGAGCGTAGAGTTTTCAGGATAAAGGCGTTCATCCGGCAATCAATTGTAGCGTCTGTAGTCATGTAAAAGCTTGGACTGCATGCAGATCACTCTAGGAATTAAAAAAAATAGCCGTAAGCTGTTCTAACGTCTTGTTTTGCAGTTTCCCGTCGGTGCTGATTGTTCAAAAACTAGTCGGAAAATATTCGCTATTCCGAATATTTTCTAATATATGTACTACCAGCGTCAAATGAAACCCGAGCAGGGGCAAGCCACGTCGTCCGCTTACTGAATGGTGTGAACTGTGCCTGCTATGACATCGCGAATGCAGTGAAGGCTTGCCACTGTTCTGGTTTCATTTGACGCTGATAGTACTTCGAGCAGTGAGTCGAATACAGTGCTATTAGAGTCATTATTCGGAATTGTTTCATATTTGCACAGACATAAAATGAGTCAGTGTACCACAAAATTAGGTATTTAAAACTGTGTTACGGCGTTTTTATTAATTAGGTATTTGAAAGTGTGTTATGCAGGAATGTAGTCGTTCTTAAGAATATAGGTCTTAGTTTAGGGTGAAGTTTAGAGGTTGACACCCGTTCAAGAGCTTTCTAGAATTTGGGAGAAATAATATCAACTCGGCCAGATTTATCTAACGCTGCCGCGAAGACGTAAATCCTCTCAAGTAGTTGTCGTAGAAACTTTTCGTTTGAAACCAGAGATATGGATTTGATTTTAGTGGCGAGTTGAGGCAACGTTAAAAAAAAAGTTGAGAAAAGCGACAGCTAGCTGAGCTGGTTAGTGGGGCTTGTTGCATATGTAAAACTGGAACATGATTTACAATAAATTAGCCACATTTTATAACCACTTATAGTAGCAATGTGACCTATGAGTAAAAACGTTGACCTATTAGTAACATTTTAAAGCTGGCTGCCATTAAAACTAACTCGAATCATACGACTGGATGGATTGGGTTGGAATCAGGGGCACAATGAAGAGAGTTGTATTCAGAGAAAAGAGGACAGGTTTAAACAGTGGGGACCAGGAAGCTCAATTGAAATCCTCCAAAATATTTTTTGATGCCTTTGTAATTACATTTTCTGTAGCGGAAAGCATGTTCAGATAGCCAGATGCACCAATTACGTGGTGGTAAATGAATATTTCAATGAAGAGTGAATGGTGGCACACAGGCGCTCTGGTCAAACTGGAGAACTGAAGTCCCTCTCGCGAAGAGTCCATCTCCGCTTTGAAATCTGAAAAAAAAAAAAAAACGGCCTCTGGTAATACTTGCGAAGTAATGGAATTCGACCGATTTCAGCGGTGAAGCGCAGATAAATGAAGAGTAAATGGTGGCACACAGGCGTTCTGGTCAAACTGGAGAACTGAAGTCCCCCTTGCGAAGAGTCCATCTCCGCTTTGAGATTTGGAAAAAAAACGGCCTCTGGTAATACTTGCGAAGTAATGGAGTTCGACCAATTTCAGCGGTGAAGCGCAGATAAATGAAGAGTAAATGGTGGCACACAGGCGTTCTGGTCAAACTGGAGAACTGAAGTCCTTCTTGCGAAGAGTCCATCTCAGATTTGAGATTTGGAAAAAAAAACGGCCTCTGGTAATACTTGCGAAGTACTGGAATTTGACCTATTTCAGCGGCGAAGCCGAAGCGCAGATAAATGAAGAGTAAATGGTGGCACACAGGCATTCTGGTCAAACTGGAGAACTGAAGTCCTTCTTGCGAAGAGTCCATCCCCACTTTGAGATTTGGAAAAAAATGGCCTCTGGTAGTACATGCGAAGTAATGAAATTTGACCGATTTCAGCGGCGAAGCCGAAGCGCAGATAAAGAGTAAATGGTGGCACACAGGCGTTCTGGTCAAACCGGAGAACTGAAGTCCCCCTTGCGAAGAGTCCATCTCCGCTTTGAGATTTGGAAAAAAACGGCCTCTGGTAATACTTGCGAAGTAATGGAGTTCGACCAATTTCAGCGGTGAAGCGCAGATAAATGAAGAGTAAATGGTGGCACACAGGCGTTCTGGTCAAACTGGAGAACTGAAGTCCCCCTTGCGAAGAGTCCATCTCCGCTTTGAGATTTGAAAAAAAAAACGGCCTCTGGTAATGCTTGCGAAGTAATGCAATTTGACCGATTTCAGCGGCGAAGCCGAAGCGCAGATAAATGAAGAGTAAATGGTGGCACACAGGCATTCTGGTCAAACTGGAGAACTGAAGTCCTTCTTGCGAAGAGTCCATCTCCGCTTTGAGATTTGGAAAAAAATGGCCTCTGGTAGTACATGCGAAGTAATGAAATTTGACCGATTTCAGCGGCGAAGCCGAAGCGCAGATAAAGAGTAAATGGTGGCACACAGGCGTTCTGGTCAAACCGGAGAACTGAAGTCCCCCTTGCGAAGAGTCCATCTCCGCTTTGAGATTTGGAAAAAAAACGGCCTCTGGTAATACTTGCGAAGTAATGGAGTTCGACCAATTTCAGCGGTGAAGCGCAGATAAATGAAGAGTAAATGGTGGCACACAGGCGTTCTGGTCAAACTGGAGAACTGAAGTCCCCCTTGCGAAGAGTCCATCTCCGTTTTGAGATTTGAAAAAAAAAAAACGGCCTCTGGAAATGCTTGCGAAGTAATGGAATTTGACCGATTTCAGCGGCGAAGACGAAGCGCAGATAAATGAAGAGTAAGTGGTGGCACACAGGCGTTCTGGCCAAATTGGAGAACTGAAGTCCCTTTTGCGAAGAGAGCACATCTCCACTTTGAGATTTGGAAAAAACGGCCTCTGGTAATACTTGCGAAGTAATGGAATTTGACCGATTTCGGCGGCGAAGACGAAGCGCAGATAAATGAAGAGTAAATGGTGGCACACAGGCATTCTGGTCATACTGGAGAACTGAAGTCTCTTTTGCGAAGAGTCCATCTCCGCTTTGAGATTTCGAAAAAAACGGCTTCTGGTAACACTTGCTAAGTAACGGAATTTAACCGATTGCAGCGGCGAAGCCGAAGCGCAGATAAATGAAGAGCAAATGGTGGCACGCAGGCGTTCTGATCAAACTGGAGAACTGAAGTCCCTCTCGCGAATAATCCATCTCCGTTTTGAGATTTGGAAAAAAACGGCCTCTGGTAATACTTGCGAAGTATGGAATTTGACCGATTTCAGCGGCGAAGCCGAAGCGCAAATAAATGAAGAGTAAATGGTGGCACACAGGCGTTCTGGTCAAACTGGAGAACTGAAGTCCTTCTTGCGAAGAGTTCATCTCCACTTTGAGATTTAGAAAAAAAACGGCCTCTTGTAACACTTGCGAAGTAATGGAATTTGACCGATTTCAGCGGCGAAGCCGAAGCGCAAATAAATGAAGAGTAAATGGTGGCACACAGGCGTTCTGGTCAAACTGGAGAACTGAAGTCCTTCTTGCGAAGAGTCCATCTCCGATTTGAGATCTTGAAAAAAAAAACGGCCTCTGGTAATACTTGTGAAGTAATGGAACTTGACCGACTTCAGCGGCGAAGACGAAGCGCAGATAAAGAGTAAATGGTGGCACACAGGCATTCTGGTCAAATTGGAGAACTAAAGTCCCTCTTGCGAAGAGTCCATCTCCGCTTTGAGATTTGGAAAAAAACGGCCTCTGGTAATACTTGCGAAGTAATGGAATTCGACCGATTTCAGCGGCGAAGCCGAAGCGCAGATAAATGAAGAGTAAATGGTGGCACACAGGCGTTCTGGTCAAATTGGAGAACTGAAGTCCCCCTTGCGAAGAGTCCATCTCCGGTTTGAGATTTGGAAAAAACGGCCTCTGGTAATGCTTGCGAAGTAATGGAATTTGACCGATTTCAGCGGCGAAGACGAAGCGCAGATAAATGAAGAGTAAGTGGTGGCACACAGGCGTTCTGGCCAAATTGGAGAACTGAAGTCCCTCTTGCGAAGAGAGCCCATCTCCACTTTCAGTTTGGAAAAAAACGGCCTCTGGTAATACTTGCGAAGTAATGGAATTCGACCGATTTCAGCGGTAAGCCGAAGCGCAGATAAATGAAGAGTAAATGGTGGCACACAGGCATTCTGGTCAAATTGCAGAACTGAAGTCCCTCTTGCGAAGAGTTCATCTCTGCTTTTAGATTTGGAAAAAAACGGCCTCTGGTAATACTTGTGAAGTAATGGAACTTGACCGACTTCAGCGGCGAAGACGAGCGCAGATAAAGAGTAAATGGTGGCACACAGGCATTCTGGTCAAATTGGAGGAACTAAAGTCCCTCTTGCGAAGAGTCCATCTCCGCTTTGAGGATTTGGAAAAAAAACGGCCTCTGGTAATACTTGCGAAGTAATGGAATTCGAACCGATTTCAGCGGCGAAGCCGAAGCGCAGATAAATGAAGAGTAAATGGTGGCACACAGAGCGTTCTGGGTCAAATTGGAGAACTGAAGTCCCCTTGCGAAGAGTCCATCTCCGGTTTGAGATTTGAAAAAACGGCCTCTGGTAATGCTTGCGAAGTAATGGAATTTGACCGATTTCAGCGGCGAAGACGAAGCGCAGATAAATGAAGAGTAAGTGGTGGCACACAGGCGTTCTGGCCAAATTGGAGAACTGAGTCCCTCTTGCGAAGAGAGCCCATCTCCACTTTCAGTTTGGAAAAAAACGGCATCTGGTAATACTTGTGAAGCAATAGAATTTGACCGATTTCAGCGGCGAAGGCGAAGCGCAGATAAATGAAGGGTAAATGGTGGCACACAGTCATTCTGGTCAAACTGGAGAACTGAAGTCCCTCTTGCGAAGAGTCCATCTCCGCTTTGAGATT